CTATCTACTAACAGTCTGTGGGGGAATCCAGGATCCCTATGCGTCCTACACGTAACCCCCTTAGTCCCGTAACCTAGTTCTGCGTAATTAGTCTTATCTGCTTGCTTGTTTCCGCGAGTGCCTCTGCGCTCGGGTTGTTCGTATTACGGGTTGTAATATAGTATTCTCTCTAGAGGATTTTAAGAGTTTTTCCGCGGCCTAGGTAACTACCTATAGGTGAATTATATATATATTAAAAAAGCTTAATCTTTAATTTATTATAGTTAGGAATTGCTAAGTAATTGCGGTAGAATAGTTTACTATTGCGGACTTTGTATTTGCTTAGGGTAATCTTTTTTAAATATCGGGTTCTAGATTATATTAACTCTAGGACTTCTTATATAAATTTATTATTAGGGTATTCTTCCTTAATAATTTCTTAAATTATGCGATTAGTTTTTATAAGGTTTAACTCGGTGAATAGCTTAGGGCGCAGTAGAGTCTAGTTTCGGGCGGCTTAGGCTTCTTCCTGTGCGGGTATATCCTGCGTATAGTAAGTTAAAGCATCTAGCTTTTCTCTAAACTTACCAGGTTAGTATATAATTATAAAGTTAAAATAAGATAGGTATTCCGCCCAGCGGGCCTATTAGTAGCTAAGCTGTTTTATAGTAGTAAAGTACTGCAGGTTTTTATAATTGCTAAGAACCTAGATTAAAAGTGCAGCACCTTTTAGTTCTAGGCGCCACTATTTAAAGCATTAGATAATTACTAGGAGTTTGTTATTATAAATCTTATAGTTATATTCGGCTAGGTTTAGCTGCTTAGAAAAGTAGGCTATAGGTTTTAGAACTCCTTATTTATCTATCTATAATAAGATTCCGGCGTTTATATAATTAGATAAGTTGGCTTTAAGGGTTATTAGTAGATCCGGGTTAAAGTGGCGGAGAATTAGGGCAGTTATAAAAGCTATTTTTAGATATTTAAACGCTTTTTTATAGGGGTTATTAAATTAGAATTATACGCCCTTCTTTATAAAAGCAATAAAAGGTGCAACTAAGCTAAAAAAGTTGTAAATAAATTATTAGTAGAAGTTGGCAAATCCTATAAAAGCTTATATATCCTTTATATTATAAGAAGTCTCCTAGTTATAGATATTATTAATCTTGTTAAGGTCTATACTAATTCTATTAGTTAATATTATATACCCTAGGTAAGTAACGCTGCTTTAGTAGAATTTGTATTTATTAATATTAAGTTACAGTCCTATATCTTTTAAGGCCTTAAGAACCAGTTTTATATAGTATTAGTGTTCCTTAAAGCTTTCGCTGTATATTAGGATATTATTAATATATATAGTATAGAATATACCTAGGTATAGGCGGAGTATATTATTTATATAGTACTGGAATATACTAGGGGCGTTAGCTAGTCCAAAGGGCATAACTAGGTATTTAAATAGGCCGTATCGTGTCCGGAAGGCTATTAGCTATTCGTCTCCTTTCGCAATTTATAGGCGATTAAACGCCGAGATAATATTAAGCTTAGTATAATACTTAGCTTTACTAAGTCGGGCTAGTATTTCTTAGATTAATAGAATTAGGTAATAGTTTTTAATTATTACTATATTTAGTGCTTAGTAATTAACGCAAAATTAGAAGCCTTTTTTAGGTTTTTTAATAAAGATAACAGGAGAAGCAACAGGTAATAAGCTAGCGCGAATAAATCCTTTTGCGAGATTGTTATTAAGGTACTTTTAAAGCACCTTTAGTTCGTTCTGCGATATACTATACAGCGGGCCGAATCTATACTATTTCCTTTTTTCTAGAATAATTTTATAATCGTATAAGCGGTGTTTAGGTAACTTATTAGCCTTTTAACAGGAAAAGTTCTTTAAAAACTAGTAATATTCCACAGGGACTTTTATTACTAGGTTAGTGTACTTTTTCTTAGCTAAGGCCTTATTAATATCGGTAATAGTAATAGTAAAGATTTTATAATTAGGTTATTAGACTAATTAGGTTAATATTTCTACTTTAAGCAGGTAGATATCTAGTTTAGCGTTAAGCTCTATATTAGGATCCGGTTTAGATTTAGGTTTAGGTTTAGGTTTAGGTTTAGGTTTAGGTTTATTTAGCTGGCGGTTTATCTTAGAAAGCTAGTAGTTATATTAGTGTTATATATATAGGCTTAACTATTAGGAATAGAAGTATTTAGTTATTAAATAAGGTGCTTTATTAGAAGCTTTTTAATACAGGTTTTTATTATTATTATATTAGAATATATTAACAGGTTTATATAGGCAATAAGCCTAGTAATAGAAGAAGCGGAAGAGCAGCCGTTAGTTATTATAATTAATTCTAACGCGGTGCTTATACAGCTATAGTTATCCTAGTATTAGGTTATATTTTCCAATCTCTAGTATATAGAGACGGATTAGTTCTATATAGTTTAGGTAGCGGAGGGTTACGCGTATAGAGTGCGTAATTTTTCCTTTTTTTAGTTATTTTCTATTAAATCCAGTTAGGCGTAAAATAATTAGTAGCAGGTTAAAATAAAGGTTCTATACGCACGCCAGAAATCTGTAAATATAACCTATACCGGTAGCCCTGCTGTTAATTAGGGCTTAGGCATCCAATTATATAGAACCTTACTACAGGGAAAATAGGGTAAAAATCTATTATTTCTAGGAGTTAACTACAGGTTCTTTAAATAGATTTATAGAAATCCGGGGTTAGAATAGTCCCGGGGGGTAACTTAGGCCCGGGACTAAGCTTTTAATTATTTCTTTGCATAGGATAAGTGTCTATTTTTTAATTATTTAGAGTTAGAAGATAAATTTATAGATATAGAGGAACAGCGTATAGGTAAAGATTAGGTTAAGTTAGCTGCTTGCGTATATATATATGGCTGTAAGCTTAGGAACTTATCTAGGCTAGATAATTAGACTTAGGGTAAGAGAATAGAATAGTTATAGAAGATATAGCTATATTTGCCGCATTTAAAGCAGAGGCCCTTTTAGCGGCGTTTATTTTATTCGGCGGAGCCAGCCGGTGCGTATCTAGATGTATTAATTTCTATTATATTTAAATCCTTATATAGCGGAGCGTAATAGCGGGAGGAACGGCTAGGCAGGAATTACAGGTTATTATTATACGCCGAGATCTAATTAGCGTAGTTATTTAGGTTACTTAGAATATATACGCCAACTATAGCCCTATATAGTTTATTAGAAAGCAAATAGTAAAGTTAAGTAATTAAGCTAATCTTATTTAAACCTATATCTGTAGTAAAGCATTAGAATTTAGCAAAGTAGGATATAAAAGCGCGTTTTTCCTATTTTAATAAGTTAAGTTTGCTTAGAGCTATAAACTTCTTATTTAGATTACTATATATAGCTTATAGAAACTAGATAAATTATTTAACTATATATATATTATAATCTATTAAGGGATCTATTAGTATTAACAGGTTGCGTTCTAGTCGGGAATAGGTATAGAAAAGGCAGGATTGTTTAGTTAGGTATTAGTCTGCGTTTCCTTCTAGTTTATATTATAGTTTCCGGATAAATATAGGAAGGTCTTTTTATCGGCCGGTAAATAAAGAAGAGTTAGGTAGTTAATTAGACTTTATAGCAGATAGGGCAGGGTGTATTAGGGAAGCTTTAGGAGAGAAAGGGGGTGTAATCCTAATAGTTAGGGTCTGTATACGTGTTATATAGGTGGCAGGCCTTAAGCTATTATTTAATTCGAGATTAGGATTTTCTACAGATTATTAGTCGGGCGCAGGTAGTGTAGAAGGGGAGGATTTAGACCGGATTATTAATATTTCTTTTTATAGAAATTTTATTACCCGGTTCTAAGCTAATAGAGCTTTAGTAAAAAAGGTTTATTAGTTCTATAGGGCTCCTGTAAAAAAGGACTGCGCAGCGGCAAGCTATTCCTTTATAGAAGTAACTAGCTCCAGGAATATTATAGCGGAGTTATTTAGGGTTGCTATAGTAGTAAGGGTTAATATAATATAATATTATAATAATACTATAAGCAAAGGTATAAGGCTTAGATAAAAGTATTAATTAGGTGCTATATACAGTATTACGTGGAGGTTTAAGACGTTGTATAAGGAACGGGAAATTAAAAGCGCCGGCGAAGAAGATATAGCGGTGGGACGTGCGCATAGCGCGAGCTTACGAGTTCCGTGCGAGATTAGGTGACGAAGCTATATAATCTAGACACGTAATCGGCAAATTGTAGTAGGTAAGGTGTTACAGGTAGTTACTATAATATAATATTTATTCCTTTATTATAGATAACAGGATATTTCTTAAAGGCTTAAATAAATTTAAAGTTGCTAATAGTTGCTAGATTTTTTCTATTAAGCAGGTAATAATAAAAGCCTAAGTTGTCTATAATATAATAAGGAGTAGGATTAGTATTTTAGGGCTAGACGGAGCGCTCTAAAAATAAAGAATATTAGTAATTTTATACCGGCTATAATAGTAGGGGCGCACCTTTATTCACGCAGCGTATAGCTTAGATAGGTATTTAAGGCGTGTAAAATTAGTAAATAGCGCGTGTATATATATATATAAATAGCAGTAGAAAAGGATAATAGAAGTAAGGTTGTAGTAAATTTAATCGGCGGCAGTATAATTAGCAGCAGTATAGTAGTAAATAATAGTATTGTTTTTATTGTTAAAGCGCTTATAAAGGAAAGGCTAAAAGGCGCTAAAGCGGACGCGTTTCCTATACGCTAAGACAGGCGCCACGACTTCCACCTAATTAGGTGGCGTGCGCTTTAAAATTAGAGCACCTTAGTTATCACCCCCCCTTTCTTTGCGTATTACCCCCCTTTTCTCTGCGTGTCACCCCCCCTATATTAGGCCTAGCTCCGGCCCGTATAAATATTGTTCCACCAATCAAACTCACCCGCTTGCCCGCTCGTGCTCAATTCGAATTTACATTACCTGCGCACTTACTCTCGATGCATCAACACCACTTCCTCTACATCATCACCTCAACACTATGAATACACCGAAAACTGCACGCTACAGCGACATCTACGTATACTGTTGTCCTGGAGGATGTTCATCAGCACTGGTGGTTCAATCGTCCCGTTCCAAACGAGGTAAACCTTCCTATCGATCCTCTCCTCCTCATCGAGGCTCCGGCAATTGTACAGCGTCGTAAAGGCAGGCCAACGGGCCCTGCTGCACCTCGTCAATCAACCCGTGGCCGTGCTCGTGCACCTGCTGATGCAACTCGACGTGATCCATCTCAATTCGAAATTGTTGATCAACAAGCTCCGGCGCAGCGAGCACGACGGCGTGGTGGAGGGCCAGGATCACGTGGAGGAACGTCGCATCTCCGGCGAGCTCATAAGACTACTGCTCGTGCAGAGCGAGCAGATAGTGTTGTAGGTGGACAGGAACCAACTCAATCGATGCAGATTGCGACACAGGCCACCCA